ATCAAAACCTTCACTGCTGCTCGGATCTCCGCCTCCAGCCCTTTCATGAAATTTCCCTCAAATACTGTATCTGAGAGTTGCTCTACCCTGCTAGCTAGGTGCTCGAACTGCTCCCGGTAGTCTGCTACTGATCCCTCCTGTGTCAGAGCAAAGAACTGCTCATAGAAATCTCCTCCCCCGTCGGTTTGAAAACGTTTTATTATGCAGTCTTTGAATTCCCTACAGCTCCTGATAAGCCTCCTCTGATCTCTCCACTAATACCACGACAGAGATTTTCCTTCCAAGCACAATCCGACTGCGGTCAGCTTCTCCTCCGTCATCCCATTGACGGCGAAGTATCGCTCCACCTTGTAAATCCACCCATACGCATCTTCTCCTTTGAACATGGGCATCTTCAACTTCCTCACCTTCTAGTCGCCTCCATTTCCCCTGATCCTTCCATAGTTTCCTCTCTCTCGAGTGCTAGGTACACCCCATGTTTCTCGGTCTTCCCTTGCCCTACCATAGCCCAAACCCCCTTCGAAATCCCCCATATATATATATATATATATATATAAGAATGATTGTTTGTAGCAAAACAGCTCCAATATGAATGTTTGAAGCATCAGTTTCAATAATAACTTTTTTTGAAAAATCTGATAAAGATAAAACAAGAAGGTCATGGCTACCTTGAGGTTGTTAAATAGAGTAGAAGCATAATCGTCCAATTTAAAAGTCTTTCTTGAGTAAATTGGTTAAAGGGGATGCAATAGGAGCATAATTTGAGATAAAGTGTCGATAATAACCCGTTAAACCCAAAATTGAGCGCAGATGTTTTAAAGATGAATGAATTGGCCAAATAGTCATAACTAAAATTTTTTTAGGATCGGGTTGAACACTACCATAAGATATAATATGACCAAGATATTCAATAGAGAACTGATAAAATTAGCATTTAATTAATTCACAAAACAAAAAATGGAAGAATTTTGTTAAAACTCAAATAGGAAAGAAGGTTAAGCAGTCGAGAACTGAATACAACCTCGAGTTTTGCTCAGATCAATTAAGAATTAAGAAGTATTGCAAGGAGCAAGGAATAACACAACATCTCTCAGTAAGACTAACACCTCAATAAGATGGGCTAGTAGAATGCTACAATAGGACCATTCTTAAGAGATTAAAATGTATATTGAATAATGCATGTCTACCAAAGATATTGTAGGTAAAAGAAACTATTACATTTGCATTTTTAGGTATCCTTCATCAGCTATTGAATTCAAAACCTCCCAAAAAAAGTGGAGTGAACAAACCAGGAGTCTACAACATGATAAAGGTATTTTGATTGCATTGCTTACACTCTCATAAGGTAACAAAAAATAGAATCAAGAGCTTTGCAATGTATTTTTAAAGGATATCCTAAAAATATCAAAGGATATAAGTTGTGGTGTTTGAAACCATGTCATCCTAAATGTTTGATCAACAATGATGTTATTTTTAATTAACAATTTTAGTTCCAAAAAAAAAATGATAAAAAAAGACTGCTAATGCAAATTAAAAATAGCAACTTGAGATTGAGCAGCCAAATAATATTGAAATTCTTTAAAACTATAATCATGAATCAACTGGGGCATAACCTAAGGACCCTAGACAACAAACTATTAAAGAAATGCAAAGAAGAATATTTGGTTTGGCAAGGAATAGACCCAAGCACCACAAAGTTATGGGTAAACATATATAATTTATTATGCATTTGTGATTGGCTTTTATCAGGTAACGAGCAAAATTCCTAAAAAGAAGTCATGAAAAGTACAGAAAAAAATAAGTAGCGGCAAGCCATCAACGAAGAGATTAATTCAAGAAGATTAACACTTAGGAGTTAGTACGAAAACTAAGAAATTAGAGGATTGTAAGCTACATAAGATTATAAAAGGAGGAGGATGGAATTCCTGGAGTGGAGGAGCCAAGATTTAAAGCTACGCTTGTAACAATATACTATCTATGTTGCACCGATACGGATACAGCGACACGGATACAACACGATACGGATACGGAACACGTCAATTCTTAAAAAAACAGGATACGGGTACGGCGCAGACACAACATTATAATTTATAAATCATAAATAAAAATTAAGAAAGAAATCAAAGTATAATATTTCAAATTACAAAAAAAAAAAAGACAACAACATCATTTGTAGCTTGTAGCTTATAATATCAAAATATAAGTATTAAATGTCTAGTAGAACAACAAAAGCATAAACATAAATTGTCTAGCACTTGAAGTTTAGGAATGATATGATTAGCTTCTTCAGTGGTTTGACTTTGAACTTCTATATCATCGTCAATAAATATTATAGCTTCTAATTCAAGCTCATCAAGTGAAAGATTAGTAATTTTTAATATTCCCATATCATCAAGAGACTCAAATCCATCTCGAAAATGAGAGAGCCTTGCATGCAGCCGCGGAAGTAAATACGACGCATATTTTTTTTTTCGGATTTCTTTTTATTTTTCAACGAACACGCGTATCGGATACGTGTCCTTTTGAAATTAAATAGTATTTTAATTGGATACTGCTTTGGCGTATCCGACACGTATCGGTGAATCGGTGTATCGGATATAACACGCCTTCATAAATAGGTGTATCGATGCAACATATGAGACTATACAACTACACAAAAATTTCCTCTCCAATTTTAAGGCATACATCTATACATGCTTTTCTTGACATGACTGTTCAATTTGGCATATTGAGCAAATTAATATAAAAGACAATATTCTTGCATGGTGAATTGGTGGAGACTATTTACATGAAAGATTTGCTGAAATTGAAACTGAAAATCAAGTTATATTTGTTAAAATATCCTTGTATGGGTTGAAATAATTTTCAAGAAAATGCGATAAAGAAATGATGAGTATATAGTTGATATCAACTTAACACGCAGCATTTGTGAGTCTAGTGTATATCTGAAATTTGAGATCAATAACACTATCAATCTTTTATTTTATATCTATGATATTTTGTTGTAAGTGCTAACTTAAAAGAAATCATAAGATTAAAAACTTTGCTGAAGGTGGCCTAGAAATGAAGGATCTTGGTCTTGCCAAGAAAATCCTTAGAATGGAGATCTTCAGAGATAAAAAAAGGAAATAATTATTCTCATCACAAATCATAAATAAAAAGGAATGTGAAACACTATGTCATGACACCTTCTAAATCAATTTCTGCATCTTTAACATAATATTTTAAGTTGAGCAAGGATCAACGATTAGGTGATAATATTAAAAGAACATATATAGATAAGGTTCCCTATCAAGATCTAGGGAAGATTTTAAAGATTCCAGCATATGATACTTCATCAAATTTGTTGACATAAGCTCCAGCTTCCTCAATATCTCAACATTGCTAGGAGTTGTTAAGGATGGTGAGAGAGAAGTCTTAATGTAGTTTGTTTGGATCTTTATGAATTAAAGAACCATGGCGAAGATCGTTGTATTGGTCCTTTAATTCTTAAATAAATTTTTTTTATAGAACTGTTAATAATCTCTTTCTTTTGGGGTTATTTGTGTAAATTTCATTTTACACAAACACCTTGAGGTGCGTAAATACACCCTCAACCAATGATGTAAATACAATTCAAAAAAAAAAAATTTCTAATGAATCTCTTCTCATCTCCTATTTCCTATGATATTCTTTTTTTTTTTTCCTTTTCTTACTACCTAGATGGTTTCATGTTATATTCAAGTATTAAGTACAGGAAGGTAGAAGTTTTTTGCCTGGGTGCAAGTATCTGCTAGGATCTGTTGTCATGAAGATGGAGGTGATCCATCCTTTGCTATGAATGTAAGAAGTCAGAGAAGGTTGGCTGGACCAATTGCCAAATCTCACGTGAAGCTGTTGTAGTCAAGAGCTATGGAAGGAGTTATGATTGCTAGTGACGGTAGAGTTACTGACAAAAAGCACCAAGGCTTGGTGACGATGGCTACGAAAGAATTGCAGAAGGCCTTGTTGATAATAGTTTGAAGAAACAGAAACTGAGCAGTGGGAACCCACGAATTGTTTAACCAAGAAGGTTTGAGTCTTTTTCTTGCAAATTCTATGAATGTTTATCAATATCACAGAGCTGCAGTTTTTCTACAAATGCAAAACTGGCGATCTTTTACGCATGCAAGATACGTTTATAAATTTAAAATTTAATTCTATCAGGTCTTATATTCTCTGAATAATTTTGTTTTCATCCATTCCACTGAAGTCTCTACAAGAGGAGAGATTATTCTGTGCGGACACCGGACAGAGAGAATCGTCTGTTTTGAGAGATTATTCTGTGCGGACACCGGACAGAAAGAATCGTCTGTTTTTCTCTGTCTATAGTAAAAGCATAGTTATTATAGCCGTTGTGTTTTGACTGCACTTTTACTGTAGACAGAGATAAAACCTGACGGTTCTCTCCGTCCGGTGTCTGCACACAATAAAAAGTACTACAGAGAGAGGGATAAAACAAAAAAGCACAAATTTAATAAGGGAAATTTACATACATACCTCTTTATACCATCATATTTATATATCTAACACCCAAAACTTTAATAATACATACATATCACCCTTAATATTATTTTAATATCAAATATAACACTCATATTTCCTTCTTACCACTCATATATTTCATTTCTACCACTCATATCTGATATGAAAATGAACTATGGGTGGTATGTATGTAAATCTACCATTTAATAACCCAGTTCACGTTTCCCTATCATGCTCTACACTTCAAACTGTCCTAAAGTGCAGAAATTTGAGAGTACCCACTGATCAAGGAGAGATTGATTAATGCACAAATTACTCCGAATTTCCAAAAATCTATCCTCCTAGTTTTTCACTTTTTCTAACTAAAAATCAAAACCTCTCTCATCAAAATTATTTACTCAAGCCCACAAAAAATTCAATATTCCTATTTTCAAAAGCTAATACGCAACAGAGCGAAGTTCTTGAAGAAAGCGGGACGGGGAATGTAAAGGAATTACCAGTCAATGACTTGACGGATCTTGGGTGCAAAATCCTCCACCTAAATGAAACAAGAACAAGCAAAAAAGAAAAAATAAATAAATAAATAAATAAACTTTTAGACAATCTTCGAAAAGTTTGGCACTAGGCTTTGATGTAGCTCCACTCTAGTAAAAATATAAAAGCAGATCAAAATCGAAGCTTTGAAGGCAGTCACTGGTACCTCTTTCTCGGAAAGCGAGATGCGGGCCGCATCAGCGAGGAGGGGAACGTCGGGGGGTTGAAGGGATGAACAGCGAGGCGCCGAAGCGAAGAGCCTCCGGCGGAGCAAAACTGGTTTTCGGTTTTCAAAGCTTCGAAGAGCGGCGGCGCCGGCCCGCGCGACCACCGAGACCATGTTTTTTTCTCGGATTCGTTAAGAATCTAGAGGGAAAGATGACGATGGTAAGTGATAGGGTTCGGCAACCGTTTCAAAATGAGTTTTAGGGTAGGTTTCGGATCAATCCAAAAATAACCTGCCATCATTTGATCCAATTCGGATCCAACCTAATTAAGAAATGGGTTATAGATTTAGACCCAAATCCGAATCGGTTTAAACCCGGGTCAATATGACATGACCAGCCACCCATTAAAAAAATTTCTATAATTCCGCTTTTGTGCGTAACGTGCATTTCTTCGGCCAAATCCTGCTTTATCGATTAACTACCTGATAACCTGACTGGCTGACTGACTAATCCATTTCATGTGCTTCTTCTTCGGGCAAATCTCGTAAATCGGTTAATTTCACGCGCTTTTCCCAGTTCGCTCTGACTCGCACATGCGAACCGTTCGGAACTTCGAAACTTTCGAACCGACAAATCATTTGGAACGGTAAGGGAAATGACGAACCGCGAATGAAAGTTACAAAATGAACTCCCATTCCCAACTCCTTTGTGCACGCTTGTCCGCAAAATCATTTAGATCTAAGTCAAAATCAGGTTAATTTCAAGTTTGCATGTCAACTCAAACCTCGCCGTTTTTTTTAAACGGTATAGATTTTTAGACTCAAATCCGATCCATTTGTAAACAGGTCAACCCCGAATATAAAATTTTGGAGTAGGGTTGCAAGGTCGAGTCAAATTTTGACACCCTTAGGTTCGGGAAGCGAGATACAATTGTCATTTTCTTGTATGTATGCGATAGGAAATTCTAAGTACAGATACTAATAAAAACCTGGATAAATTCTAAAAATTTTGAGAAATTTAAGTACAAATTATAAAGTTTTTATGTATTTATATATCTAATATTTAAATTTTAAATTATATAAAAATATTTTTAATATTAATTTTTAAAGTTAAATATATTTTTCACACACAGATATATATTATTTATTATTATGAATTTTTACATACATAACACTTCAAATTAGTGTACATACATATTCAACACCCAAACTTTTTGTATTTACTAATATAACATCTAAAACCCCAATTTTTTTATCTATTTTAACACCATGCCATGCGAACCGTTCGGAACTTCGAAACTTTCGAACCGACAAATCATTTGGAACGGTAAGGGAAATGACGAACTCTGCTTTTTGTCTGCGAGGTTTGCAAGGAGCCTCCTCGGTTGCTTCTGCTTCTGCTCTCTCGGCCGGACAATCTCTTGGCTGCAAGGTAAGATAACAAAAATCTCCATTGCCCCTTCTCTTATTCATCCAAAATTCATGGATTGCTGGTGAAGGAGAATCTTGATCTTGAGAGAACCGACGGAGAAGGAAGAAGACGGAGCACAGGGAGAACGTAAGAAGAGGGAAAACTATATTCAAATGTAATAATGAGTTTACAGTATTTATAGAACTAAATTACATGGTGTGTGAAATGAGCTCAAGTACAGGATAATAAATGTGTTCTCATTCTAATACCTTCCCTCAAATTAAGCATTCGGGCTAGCGAATTGTTAATTTGGAGCGAAGAAAATTAAAACGAGAAATGTTAAACGGTTTAGTTAAAATGTCGGCAATCTGGTCGTGAGAGGAAATGTGCTGAATGCGTATATTTCCGGAAGCTATATGTTGCCGAATAAACTGAAAATCGATCTCGATGTGCTTCGTCCGAGCATGAAAGATCAGATTCTTGGCTATAGCTATGGCGGAAATGTTATCACAGTGAATAAGCGTTGGAGACGATTGGTCTAGGTGAAGTTCAGCTGCAAGTCGTCTTAGCCAGATGACTTCTGAAGTTGCTGCTGATAGGGCGCGATACTCCGCCTCGGTGGAAGATTTCGCCACCGTGATTTGTTTCTTAACGGGCCAGGATAGAAGATTAGGTCCGATGAAAGTACAGATGCCGGAAATGGACTTACGGTCTGAGAGGTCCGATGCCCAGTCAGCATCGGTGTAGGTCTGGATAGTTGTATCGTCGGGCGTGATTGGTAGGCCGAGGGTAGCTGTGCCTTTGAGATAGCGAAGTATCCGTTTGAGTTGGATGAAGTCGTCTGTGGTCGGAGACTGCATGTGCTGACAGACTTGGTTGGTAGCAAACGAGATGTCCGGCCTGGTGATCGTTAGATATTGCAGGGATCCAGCCAGTCGACGATACATCGATGGATCGTGAAACAATTCAGTCTGATGCTGTGAATGCCTGGTAGTCGGAGTGATGGGTGTCGGGCACGGTTTGCAGTCAGTAAAGCCTGCTTCCCGAAGAAGTTTGGAGACATAATGTTCTTGATGGAGAAAGAAGCCGTCGGAAGTGCGGCTGATCTGGATACCGAGATATAGATTTATTTGTCCCAGCTGTTTGAGAGCGAACTCAGAGCGAAGATCGTGAAGGAGATTGTTGATATGAGTAGAGCAATTTCCTGTAAGGAGAATGTCATCAACATAAAGTAAAATGTAAAGAAAAGTTTGTTTGTTATTATAGATGAGTAAAGAAGGATCGGAGCAGCTAAACCCAAATCCACGGGCTTGTAAAAACGTTGTGATTTTCTGAAACCACTGTCGCGGCGCTTGTTTGAGCCCATATAAGGATTTGTGAAGTTTACACACTGCGTCAGGTTGAGTTGGATCGGTGAAGCCGCGAGGTTGTGACATGTAGATGTCATCTGGTAAATCACCGTGTAGGAAAGCATTGGACACATCGAGCTGAAGCATAGGCCAATTACGGTTAACAGCAAGTGTGAGTAACATTCGTATGGTGGTCATACGAGCAACCGGGCTAAACGTCTCGTTGTAATTTTCACCCAGAACTTGCTCATAGCCAAGAGCCACCAACCGTGCTTTGTAACGATCTACTTGACCATTCGGTTTGAGTTTGATCTTATAAGTCCATTTGCATCCTAATACCCGGTGATTATTCGGTTTTGGAACCAGCGTCCAGGTCTTTTGTTTTAAGAGCGCATTGTATTCTTCTGTCATCGCATCTTGCCAGTGCTTGAGTTTGGAGGCTTGATTATAAGTTGTTGGAGTTGTCATGACACTGGTGTTGCAGAGAAGGGTGAGTAATTGACGAGGTTTGGAGATTCCCGACTTAGATCTGGTCTGCATAGGATGATGGGGTTGAATCTGATCTTGGTTATAATGTGAATTGCCGTGGAGAGCCTTGTCGGTAGAGGTCGTAGAGGTATCAGCCGGAGTAGGTGGATTGAGGAATAGTTGGAGGAGTAGCAGACTCTGTATTGGTATTATGAACGGATGTGGTAGTGGCCGAGATCGGTACGAGAAGAAGCGGAGAAGGTTGAGTGGTGTTTGTCGGATGTAGTGGAAGACTGGCAGCATGATTTGAATGGAGCGGGAAAATTGATTTGTGAAATTCAACGTGACGAGAGATGTATAATTTGTGGTTAGTAAGATCGTAACATTTATACCCCTTGTGGTGTGGTGAGTAGCCCACAAAAACACAAGGTAGAGATCTCGGTGCGAGCTTGGTAGTGGTATACGGTTGCAGCCATGGGTAGCAGAGACACCCGAAAGTTCGCAAATGTGAGTAATCAGGATTTTTGTTATGAAGCAGTTGATATGGTGATTTGAGTGACAGAGCAGTGGTGGGGAGATAATTAATTAGGTAATTGGCCGTAGACACCGCATCAGCCCAGAAGTGATCAGGGAGATTGGACGCAATCAGAAGTGCGCGAGTAAGTTCCAAGAGGTGGTGATGCTTCCTTTCCGATAGGCCGTTCTGTTCGGGTGTGTAAGGAAAACTGAGTTGATGTTGTATGCCATTATCGTTGAGGTAGGAGGTGAACTCTTGATTAACGAACTCTCCACCTCCATCTGATCGGAAGCATTTCGGTGTAGCAGAGTATTGGTTTTTAAGAAAACTGCATAGTATTTTAAATTTAGCCAAGGCCTCATTTTTGTGATGTAGAAAGTAAATCCATGAAAACCTCATATAATCATCAATGAAAACAACGTAATACCGAAAACCATTCAAAGACGGAAGTTTCGTCGGACCCCATACATCTGAATGTATAAGTTCAAATGGATGGGAGGTCGACGAAGAACTTTTATTAAACGATTGTTTATGACTCTTAGCCATATTACATGCTTCACAATGAAAATCAGAGGGTAAAGTGGAAAAATTCGAAATGTTGTTAGCTAAAGAATTCAAGATGCGGTTGCTGGGATGGCCGAGACGGGCGTGCCAGATGGACGAGGAGATAGTCGTAGCTTGAAATGCTGTGGAAGACGTCGGAGGTGCAACTTGTATCATGTAAATCCCGTTATGCAAACGTCCACGAAGAAGAGGCTGATGGTTCTGCAGATCCTTAATTTCAAAGCCATTAGAATCGAAAGTAATAGAGACGGAATTATCAGATGTTAATTTAGATACAGAAAGAAGATTATCCGTAAGAGCGGGAACATGGAGTAGATTGCATAAATGTAGCTTACGAGACGAATCTGGCAAGGGAAGGATCCCCTGACCATAGTTTTGTATTGGAACAGCAGAGCCATTCGCCACAGAGACTGATTCGTGACCGTGATATGCCGTGGGATATTGAATGTTCGTGCCATCCGTCGTCATGTGTGAGGAAGCACCGGTATCAAGAACCCAGGATTGAGTAGCCGGAGTCGTCGGTTGGGCAAGAAGAGCTCGGTTTGTAGTTGTGGACGGAGGAGCATAAGAAAGATTACACTGGTGCCAACAGTTGTTCGCAGTGTGGCCGATTTTACTGCAAATCTGACAGATGGGGCGGGTGTTGGTAGCCGAGACTTGCGACGGTATGGATTCGTTGGTGTTCAGGTTGCGAGTGTTGTTGTTTCGTTGCTTGTTGGGACGCTTGCTGTTCTTGTTTCGCATTTGATTGTAGGAGGTAGCGTAGTAGGCTGCTGTCGTCGCTAGTTGGTCTTTCTTGATGTCGTGATAAACGTGTATCTCCTCACTGCAGAGAAGGGAATAGAGGGCGTCTAAATCCGCAGGGAGAGAGGAGGAGCGAATGTACGTTTTAAAAGAGTTGTAGGTGGCGGGGAGTCCATTTAAAATATAGAGCGTGA